TGATAAAGATGCTGTAGATGCTGAGGAAGATGAAGCCAAGGAAAGCCACAGGTCCAGACGGCATCAGCTCCAGACTCCTGAAGGACTGTGCAGACCAGCTCTGTGAGGTGCTACTGCACATCTTCAGCTTGAGCCTGAGTCTGGAAAGGGGCCAAGCACTGTGGAAGACTTCCTGCGTGATTCCTGTCTCCAAGACAGCACACCCCAGGGAGCCCAACCACTTCAGACCTGTGGCCCTCACTTCTCACCTGATGAAGACTCTGCAGAGGATCATGCTGAGGAACATCCGCCTCCTGGTGAGCTCTCATCTGGATCCTCTGCAGTTTGCGTACCAGCCAAACATCGGAGTGGACGACGCTGTCATCTACCTGCTGCATCACTTGGAGAACACTGGCAGCACTGTGAGGGTCATGATTTTTGACTTCTCCAGTGCTTTCAACACCATCCAGCCTTCACTGCTCAGGGGGAAGCTCGAGAGGGTGGGAATGGACTGTCACCTAGCCGTATGGACGGTGGACTACCTCACCGACAGACCACAGTTTGTGAGGCTTCAGAACTGTGTGTCGGACATGGTGGTCTGCAGCACGGGGGCTCCACAGGGGACAGTGCTCTCCCCCTTCCTCTTCACCCTGTACACCTCTGACTTCAGCTACAACTCTGGGAGCTGTCACCTCCAGAAGTTCTCTGATGACACAGACATCGTCGGATGTGTATCGTCAGGGGATGAGTGGGAATACAGGACTGTCATCACTGACTCTGTCAACTGGTGTGGCACAAACCACCTCCGGCTCAACGCTAGTAAGACAAAAGAGATGGTTGTGGATTTCCACAGGAGGAGGACACCTCAGACTGTTCCAGTGAACATCCAGGGTCTGGACATCGAGATGGTGGAGTCCAACAGATTCCTGGGTGTCCACCTCAACAATAAACTGGACTGGTCAACCAACACAGACGTCCTGTACAAGAAGGGCCAAAGTCATCTCCACCTGCTGAGGAGACTGAGGTCCTTTGGAGTGTGCAGGACTCTGCTCAGGACTTTCTATGACACTGTGGTAGCATCTGCACTTTTCTATGCAGTGGTCTGCTGGGGGGCAGGGAGCACCGAGAGGGACAGGAAAAGACTGAACAGACTGATCAGAAGGGCTAGTTCTGTCCTGGACTGTTCTTTGGACTCCCTGGAGGAGGTGGGTGAGAGGAGGATGTTAGCAAAGCTTGTATCCGTCATGGACGATCCCTCTCACCCACTGCACCAGACTCTGGGGGCCTTAAGTAGCTCCTTCAGCAGCAGACTGAGACTTCCACCTTGCAAGACAGAGCGCTACCGCAGGTCATTCCTCCCTTCTGCAATAAGACTTTGCAACGAACTGTAATAAAACTGGACTCACACCACCACTTTGTTCTGGCATTTAAATTGTGTATATTGTATATAGTTTTATTTTTATTTTTCTTCTCCCTTTTTCCTTTTTCTAAATTTTTTCTTAATTATTACATTTATTTAAGTTCTTAATATTACGATCTTTATTTTTATAACTGCATTTTTGCACGCTTTGTCTGTGATGCTGCTGTGACAAAAAAAAAAATTCCCCTATGGGGGATCAATAAAGGAATATTCTATTCTATTCTAGATACTAACATACTCGTTGCAAGATCCATGGCAGAATTGTTGATTTTGTGGGATGAGAAAAAAACACAAACTCGACCAAACAAACTGGGGTTGATGCCAATTTATGCACACTTACCCAGGTTTGACATGCCTCCGTTCCTCAGTTCCCAAACGTTCATTGAGTGTTGTTAAAAGGAAAGGTGATGTAACACAGTGGTAAACATGCCCCTGTCCCAACTACTTTGCCACGTGTTGCAGCCATGAAATTCTGAGTTAATTATTATTTGCAAAAAAAAATAAAGTTTATGAGTTTGAAATTTAAATATCTTGTCTTTGTAGTGTTTTAATTGAATATAGGTTGAAAAGGATTTGCAAATCATTGTATTCTATTTTTATTTACATTTAAAACAATTTCCTAACTTCAATGGAATTGGGTTTTGTAGATATTGTGCATATCATGGATATTATGTCGCCTCGTGCCATATTACTGGATTCAATATCACAGGACGTGACACCAGTTCCCCATCCCCCAGGAGCTGACGTCAGTTACCCATGGAAATGTGAAGGAGGTGTCAACTAATATGTACAGCCTTTCATATGGCTCTCCTTGTAGGAAACAATCAACTCAAAGACACAGCATTGATATAAACAGAAACATTTCAACAAAAGACAAAGAGTAAGAGTTTAGAAAGGAAAAATTGAGATGAACAGCAACAGAGAGAAAGATGTGAAAGAAAACCGAGAGAATAATGTGTATCTCATCCATCTCATAATTATGTTGCATCACTTATTCAACAAAGCACAAGCTGTATAGTTTGTTTCCTGAATGATTAAAGTGCAGCTCCTCTGAGTCGGATTAAAAAACAAAAGCAATTTGTCTTAAAACAGACTAAGCGAAGTTTGGTTGCTGACCGTGTTTGTGAGATGTGCAAAGGTGAGCTTACAAGCATGTCAATGTGAGGTATATCGGGTATATCGGGAGAGCATTAAAAAAAGGAAGATCAGCTGCAACGATCTGTGGCAAATGAAGGCAAGTAGAATCAGCTTCCTTCTTATGGTTGGGGTTAGGGTTGCCACATTTGATGTTCTTCCCTCACCCACAAATCACCACCTGTGGTTGGGCAAAGACCCTGCATGCCCTTTGTGCGTTACTCAAGCAACACTCAGGCACATCCTCACTCGCTGCAAAGTGAGCCTCTTTCAGGGCAGATACACCTGGAGGCACAATTAGGTGCTAAAATCCCTGCTGCAGCTATTGAGGTAAAAAGAAAAGCAAGCAAACATTTCCACATCACTCAGAACACCTTTATCAGTCCTGTCATTATCCTTTATGCGTAAAGGAGAACAACAATCAAGAACTCTAGCACTGGCCAGAAATGGTCAATTGCTGGGTGCTTGGGATGGGGAAATGCATGTGGATGTAGGCCAACAGTTCACAATACCTTTTAAAAAATAGTAACCTCCACCATAAGATGAGACACAGTACTCTGGTCAAACACCATGTGTACTGTCCACTTCAACAAGCTCACAGTACCATGGAAAGACGCCATGGATGAGGCCTATGAGAGGAAGATGCTGCACAACTCAGACCTGAAGGCAGAGGCTGAACAGCGAGGCTGGAGAGCAACAGTCCACTCAGAAGAGGTTGGCTGTTGAGGATTCATTGCAACATCCACCATCAATCTTCTCAAAAAATTGGGGATCTGCAGCCAAGCCCTGTGTCACACCATCAGGGAAACATCAGAGACTGCTGACTGCTGCAGCCAGTGGCTATAAATAAAGAGGAAAGACCCAAGTGGACTCCAAGAAGTTAGGGGCACACACCAAGGTTTGACCAGCCTGTGGTGGGCCTGCCTCAGCAGAGGGTACATTGTAAGTAAAAGGCTGAAACACTCAATGACGTGTTCCTTTTGGCAGGGGTCACCTGGGGTCGATCCTGTGCTGAAGTCCTTTCATGTATTCAGGATATTTACCATCAAGTCCAATGTTACAAATCATTGGTAAAGGGGGACTTGAGAGGGAAACTGAAATTGATTTTGAAAGCACACTGGAAAGCATGATTTTAGAAAAAAGTAATGAAAAAGAACAGTCTGTAAGATGAACTTAGAGTATATGAAGAAGAAAAAAAAACTTTGTAAAGGAATTAAAACTTTGATAACAAAAAGTCAAAATAAGAAATGCTAAAAAAAAAAAAAAAAAAAAAAATGTTCTTCCAATGTTCTGAAGACATCGTGCTGATAAGCTTTAAAAAACATCCCTGATGATAATAAAAGTTATTAGGGCTGAAAAGTTGGCAGTGATTTGTCAGACATCTGGTGCAGAGTCAGTTCTGTCACTCATCTGTGACAGGTGTGCTGCAGGTACGTTTCAGCACCACCTCCATGCAGCTTTCTCATTTTCAATTAGTTTTTTTTTTCTTTTCCTGCTGGTTTCCTGGTTCAGTGACAAAGACATTACAGCTCTCAGTTTCATATTTGATGGCTGCCATTGTGTGTCTCTGTTACTCTGCCTCAAAGTCCTCATTTATCTGAGTTTGGCATAATTTAGGGAGCACAAAAGAGGTCTCACAGTTTTGATCAGCTCTAAATCATTAAAGATGAAGATGGTGTTCAAAAAGCAGTGAAAATCTGTCCAGCATGCCTGTCACTATGGCCACTGTAAAAGTAAATAGATCCTTATTAATTGAGAACTGAAATGTTTGTGTTACACTGCAGAAAATGATGGGCCAACTCATCTCCTGTGCAACACATTTATTTTAACAGGACTCCTGTGAATACACAATGACATACAGGTGAACAGGAGCACATGCTGCATCTTCTGTCAACTCTCACCACGTACTGACCAGACTTCTTCTAGTCTATATTCCAATAACCAAAACATGTACACTCGTACTACAAAACACAATACTACAGTAGTACTGAAATGTTACAAGTGACATGACTGTCTCAATGTTTATAGTTTTTAATCACATACTTCCTCCCTATGAACTGCCAAAATCACATAATGCATTTAACTTGATAAACAAATATCTAAATATACTCAAAATGAGGTTTTATAGTGTTTTTAACCATTGTTTTTAAACACTGTTTTTAACCTTTTATTAACTGCATGGATTACATTAAATCTCTTCTGAACAAATGTCTTTTTAAACTCTATTTATGTCCTATTTATTCTATATTTATTCTCAATGAAATAAACCTAAATTATTCTACACTTTCCGTCTACACAAACATCACATAGTGTAGCTTTAATCTAAAACACTCATGTTAACAAAAATAGACTCTCATCACTGCCTAAGCATTGATATGAGACCACACGTTCACTCTTTAGCTTAGCCTCACGTTAAATTTAACTCTTCACCTCACTCTGTATCTCGGTTTACACAAGCATCTGCCTGGAATAACACATGGGGCTCTATTTTCGTTCGCGCCGGTGAGGCGGCGGAGGGCGGCGAGCCCCGCGCAGTTGTATTTTCGTCTGGCGGAGCCCGGCGTAAGGCGAGTTTGGTATTTTCGTGGACTGAGTCGCACGGAGGCGAGCCGAGATCCGCCAAGCTGGGCGTGGTGGCGTGGCAGGGGGAGGTGTCGACAGAATCAGCAGGCGCAGTGACATTTTCGTGCTCGCCACTGGCGTGTAACGTGCGCTGAAAGCTCGCCGATTCAAACCTGGTCAGCTTTCAGCGCAAGGCGGAACGCAGCTGGTCTAGTAGTATTTTGGTAGACCGGCGGCGTATCGACATACGTCACTGATGCCTCACCGGCAGGTTTCCACAGTGTCAGGCAGATTTCAGTGCAATAAATAATCATCAACAACTATTAATCTGAGTCAGCACATACATTTAGATCTATATCGATATATTCTGATCTATATCTGATCTGATGAGCGCGTTTGGCACGCGTTTGGACACACAACCTGACCGAATCAATACAGCTGAAACTGCATCAAATTAAATTAAATATCTAGTAAATAAACACACATGATTAAGTTAACAAGATATGTAATGTGTCTCCCTCCTTTTCTTTCTTCCTCTTATTTCTCGCACAGCTCGACCTGGACACGTCTCTGTGTCCTCTGTCCGTGTTCCTGCTGCTGCTGCGGCTGAACAGATGATTTGTTTCAGTGCTCAGATGCGTTATCTACTTTAAGCCGACATACGGATATTATAATATTCAGTTTTGTGAGCCAAATTTATTTTATATGCCAACATCTATGAAAGAAAGAGCCAGGCCACGGAGCGCGATGCGTCATTTACGCACAGATGGTTCCGATTTTAATGCCTTTTTGGAGTTTATGTTGTGATCTGTGCGCTCAACCCACCTTTGTCACGTGAGGTTTGAATATGAGCAACTTTATGTGAGTGTCTTTATTTGTGGAAAAGGGTGTTTGTCTTACCAGTGGGTCCAACATTACGCACACCAAATCCATCTGTGCTCAGATGAGAGAGTGTGGAGGACACTTGTTGAGCAGCTGCCCTCTGTCGCCATCGTGTGGCATAACTGTCTTCAGACATCTCTTGATCTCTTTGACTACTTCATGAAAATAGTAATACGCCTCGCCTGTGGCGGATTTAAAGGCGAGGAGAGGAGCTAATGTGATTGGTGAAAACAGGTCTCGGCTGTGTTAAACCCCCTATACGCCCTCTCTCCTCCCCGTCTATGATTTATGCTGCCGGGAGGAGCTGAGTTAGGGAGGGGGGATACTTACACCGGGCTGCGCGGCTCACCAAAATACCAAAATGTGCTTGGGAACGCCTTGTCAGCGCGGCGGATCTGATTGACTCTGCGCTTGCGGCACGTCTCCGGCGAGGCACCAAAATAGAGCCCATCTACTCTACTTGACATAAGTTTTGGCCATTAACTCATGCTTACACAGGGATTATGTGCATCTAAAGTAGAAAGTTTAACCTATCAGAGCTAATACAACATAAAACACTTCTCTGGTTCATTACCGCGATCGCCGCGCACTACGAGTCCGCCATTTTAGATACACAAACGTGACGAGTCACCTTCACGGACTCATGAACTTGTGACCTCGTTCTGCAGATCGACATCCTTTACATTCTAAGGCACTTATAATCTACCACTACTGTTGTCTTATATTAATATATTGTTTACCATCCAGCTTACCTGTGAATACACAATGACATACAGGTGAACAGGAGCACATGCTGCATCTTCTGTCAACTCTCACCACGTACTGACCAGACTTCTTCTACCGTCAGCTACTGATGCGTGAAATACAGAGCGCCCTCTGCTGGCGAAACTCATATTAAGCTGGATTCAAACCAAACAGACATAACAGTAGTGTTCCTGTAGAAAGTTACCTTTAAGTTACCTTTAGAAATAAAAATAAAATGGGGGGGCAACTATTTTTATTCATCCATCTAAATCATAGTGCCACATTTGCAGCATTGCATTGTGGGTCGAGTGGACTATATTAACCAACTAAAGCAAAGAATCCAGATTTTACAAAGATAAAATAGTCAGATAGAGCAAAGTGTTAATGTGTTAAAATATATAAAGCAACATTTCTCTATTTCCATCAGTTTAGAGTCAAATTGGTCTTGTTGTTTGAAGAAAAAATTTTAAAATAATCAATACACTTAATACTGAACAGATAATTTCAGGGATTGTTAACATGGTATCAAATCACCATCACAAACACTATAACTTGTAAGTAAAGTGAATAAGCAGCAATAAAAATATAGATTAAAATGTTTTACCTGTCTAAAGTTACTGATCAGTCAATTATACTTGAGTCTACTGGTCAGTGGCGCAGTCATTTGCACCCTCAGCCCTCAATTACTCCTGGTATCAGTTGCACTGGTGCACTCACTTGTCTTCAACACAAAAGATGCAAAACGCTAACACACCACCAGCCATCAGGTAGCAGGAAAGGGCTATGTCCATTTGGTTCAGACATGAAGAGTATGGCACTTACTTCATTAGAAGGAAATGACTGGCTGAAACTGGGGTGAAAGTATGAGACTGAAGTTATGGATAAAACTGAGTGATGTCCTTTCTCAAAATTGAGAAAAGTAATGTGCACATGTTTTCAATGAACTGGTTTACTAAGACAATCTTGCTAATTACAAGTAAAGATGCTAATGCTTTATTTAGCTCCCACTAAACATCAGAATCAGACCCAATAAGCCTGTCAATCTCACTTAGGGACTTTCAGGGTAGGTCTAGAGCTTGCTGTTGGGATTAACCCACCAAGCCTGGGAGCTCCTGAAGATGGGACTGAAGAGTGTTGCTGGTGAAGGGGAGGTCTGGTTCAACTTGCTGAGACTATATTGAAGAAAATGGATGGATGGGATCAGACCCAGCATAGATCCAAACAAGTATGACTGATCTGAAACTGGCACATCTAAGAAAAAGCTGAAAAGCACAAATGGGCAAGGATCACCTCAATCGACTGGCATGCAGAGTTCTTCACTGGTGCTAACTACTGACCTGGCATGCATGACATGAAATCTAATGTAATGGTCTATTCAAACTTTCTTCTCTTAGTAACATTACAAACCTGAGACATAATGTTATAATAATAATAATAATAATTCATTTTATTTGTACAGCGCTTTTAAAAACACTCAAAGACGCTTTACATAGTACGTAAAATTCAAGATAATAAGACAAAGACATGAAAACAGTAAGATGGACAAAACAGTTAAATATTAAAAGCAATTTTAAATAAGTGGGTTTTTAAAAGGGATTTAAAAGTAGTGGAGTCAGGGCAGTGTCTGATGGAGGGAGGTAGGGAGTTCCAAAGGGTAGGGGCAGCTGAGGAGAATGCCCGATCCCCCCAAGTTCGGTGCTTGGGCCGTGACAGTGGGGTGAGAAGATGGGCAGAGGAGGAACGGAGGTTACGGGGGGGTACATGAGGCTGGAGTAGGTCGGTGAGATAAGAAGGGGCTTGATGATGAAGGGCTTTGTGGGTGAGAAGGAGGATCTTGAACATGATGCGTTGCTTGATGGGGAGCCAGTGTAGACGGAGGAGGATGGGGGTGATGTGATCTCGTGAACGGGTGTGGGTAAGGAGGCGGGCGGCAGAATTCTGGACTATCTGTAATTTGTTGAGGAGTTTAGAGGGTAGACCGTACAGGAGGCTGTTGCAGTAATCTAACCTTGAGGTGATGAAGGCGTGGACCAGGGTTTCTGCTGCGGGGAGGGAGAGAGATGGGCGAATACGGGCAATGTTTTTGAGGTGAAAAAAGGCTGATTTAGTGACCTGTTTGATGTGTTGTTCAAAAGTGAGGTGGGTATCAAAGATGAGTCCAAGGTTGCGGATGGAGGAGGAAGGAGACAGGGGTGAGTTATCAGCTGTGATGGAGAAGGGGGGATGGATTGGGTGATGGATTTGGGGCCAATGATTATCATGTCGGATTTGTCACAGTTCAGTAGAAGGTAGTTGTTGGTCATCCAGGTCTTTATTTCGGAGAGGCAGGTTGAGAGGGTGGAGAGGGTGGATGGGGTGATGGATTCAGTGGAAATGTAAAGTTGGACATCGTCAGCGTAACAGTGAAATTGGAGGCCGTGACGACGGATGATATGTCCAAGAGGGAGGATGTAAATAATGAACAGGAGGGGGCCAAGCACCGAACCTTGGGGGACACCTTGGGTCAGGGGAGCAGTGGTGGAGGAGTTGCTGTTTATGTTAATGAATTGTTGGCGGTTTGTGAGGTATGACTTGAACCAGGAGAGGGCAGTGCCAGTTATGTAGATTGAGTCATGAAGACGGGAAAGGAGGATGGAGTGGTGGATGGTGTCAAAAGCAGCGGTGAGGTCCAGGAGAATCAGGATGCTAATGTGGCCGGAGTCAGCACTGAGGAGGAGGTCATTGCAAATCTTGAGGAGGGCTGTTTCTGTACTATGTTTGGGACGGAAACCGGATTGGAAGACTTCAAAGAGGCTGTTGGAGTTGAGGTGGGTCTGAAGTTGAGAGGCGACGGCACGTTCTAATATTTTAGAAAGCAGGGGAAGGTTGGAAATTGGGCGGAAGTTAGAAATTATGTCAGGGTCGAGTCCGGGTTTTTTGAGGGTTGGGGTGATAGCAGCCAGTTTGAGGGAGTCGGGGACTGATCCGGTGTGGAGGGAGGAGTTGACTATGGAGAGGATTAGTGGAGAAAGGACTGGAAGGCAGGTCTTAACGAGTGCGGAGGGCATGGGGTCCAGGGTGCAGGTGGGAGTCTTCATGCTAGTTATTAACTGGGAGAGTTGGGCATGAGAGATGGGGGAAAACTGGGATAGGGGCTGAGCAGAGGTGTGGGGGGAGCACAAGGGGGGGACTTGGGGTGGGGTGTGGGGGCGGAAGTTGCGGACTGGAGGCTGTTGTAGATGTTGTCTATTTTGGACTGGAAGAACTGAAGGAAAGTCTGGCATTTGTCTGGTGTGAAGGTTGAAGTGCTGTTGTCATGTGGTGCCAGAAGTGAGTTGATGGTGGAGAACAGGGTCCTGGGGTTGCTGGAGCCAGAGTGAATGATGTTGGAGTAGTATGCTGAGCGGGCGGAGTTGAGGGTGGCTTTGTACTGATGGAGGTGATCTCTATAGAGCTGGAGGTGAATTGTGAGTCCGGTTTTCCTGTAGAGTCTTTCAAGTTGGCGTTTTTTTTTGTTTCAGCTGGTGGAGTGCTGGGGTGTACCAAGGAGCAGAGCGGGCGAATGTGACGGATTTGCTTTTTACAGGGGCAAGTAGGTTCAGACAGGAGGAGAGAGTCTGGTTGTAGTAGGTGACAAGATCAGAGGGGTTATCGGACGCTTGTGGGGGTGATGTGGTGAGGTTGAGAGAGAGAGCGGCGGTGAGGGTAGATGGGCTGATTGATTTGAGGTTCCGGAAGTTGATGGTTCGTTTGAGTCTGGTGGGTGGGTCGGGGAGGGTTAT